AGGAGATGGGTGGGGGGGGGGGGGGGGGCTGAATTTCTTGCTAACCCCACTAACCTTTGTGTTGGGATAACCTAGGCCAACCGTTTTCAGGGAGACAATTGATAATACAGTAGTAAATCATGCAAACATCATGAATTTATGGGAGATGGGTTAGTTTTGGGAGGCTTACAGGAGTGCCGACATGGGAGTCGTTGCTGATTTCTGGGACATTCCCACATATGCAGGAGATTTGGGAACCTTGCAAGCGTATTCATTTTTTTTTTTTTTTGGAGTTTATATCTTGTAAAAGTTATTAGGCCTACTAACGAATTATCCACCATCTTTTTTAAAAATGTATATCTTGTAAAAGTTATTACTAAAGAAGTATCCACCATCTTAATATGTACCAAGACTCTTATATTGGATTTTTAAAGTTTGAGCATATACTTGACTTCATGTTTCAGAATGTCACATTTTTTTAATCTTCAATGCCATTTTTGATTCTCTATGACCTTTGATTTTTCTCTTTGTATTGCTTTTATTTGTTCTCTCAGAGACTTTACTTTCCTCACCGAATAAACATTATCACACGCCTTTGTATGTTCTATTATATTCTTATGTATTTTGCAACGTCAAACAACAAAACCAGCTATGACAACGATGCACCAACACCCTTTAGTGATATTGGTATCATTATATTTTTTTTTATTCTTATATTTATTTTCTTTAAAGACACTAAAAATAAATATAGCATATGAAACAGGTACTTAAGAATCTTGAAGGGTATGTCTGACAGATCTGCGGGTATGTTTCTAAACTGTACCCGTAATTCAAATCGTTCAAACACTTAAGTCTCATTCCAACTTTTATTCTAGTACTGGTATTCACCTCTCCCTTTGAGGTTATGAAGCGCAGTTCTTTTCCCTGGTTATTGGGTCCACATGTTTTACAGTAAGTGTTGCTGCTGATAATCGGCGCGGGAGCAAGCAAACCCACCACGTACCCATTTATACTACTCGGTGGAGAGAAGCAATGTATATAAAGTGTACTACAAATATTTCAAATGGTAATGATTGTTTATATATTGTTTATATGTGCAATCATGAAATAACGAGCACTAATATTTTATCAGTGCCATGTGATAAAAGAAAGGCTCTGGAGGAAATTTTGTTGTATATGTTGCATAACTGATTTTTCTAATCTCACAAAAAGGGTGTTTGACGAAAAACTTGGGAACGGTTAGAGATATTTTTGTTTGACTATTTAAAAAATCGGTGGGTAACCACCTTCAATCAAGGTAGTTGAAATACAATACAGATACGGTAATAACTATTCATGCATGTGTGTATGATGGGGACAGACTGATGAAATATTGCATTTCTTGTAATCTTGATATTGTGCAATGATCCATAAGAAGTTACTTTTTTTTAAATATTCATATGCAAATGATATTGACAGAGTACTGTTGTTTATTAGATGACAATTTGATAAAATGGAATTTGATATTTGGATACATATTGTGATCGAAATCATTATTAATCACAATTTAATAAAGCATCATCATCATTATCTATATTAATCAGGTGCGGATCCAGTCGCCACTCTCTCCTATTTTTCCACTAAATTTTAAAATTTCAATGCATTCAATGTTATGTGCTACTCACTTATCTATTCTGAAAATGATGTGCCACCCCCCCCCCCCCATTTGAAAAAATTCTGGATCTGCCATTGTTAATCTATATTATATTAATGAATACTGTACCATTATCGTCATTGTCAATCAATCAATTTATTAGGAATATCACCTTAGGATCAGTGGCACACACAAAGGTGTTACATCCAAATTTACATTTTTTTACGAAAATACAACAAACTATCATCATCATTATAATCATCATTATTATCATCATTATAATCATCATTATTATCATCATTATTATCATCATTTGTAAAGGAGCTGTACAGTAGCTTGGTGGTTAAGGTGTTTGCCTTCAAATCCAAGTGTCTTTGGCTCAAACCCGGTGAGACACTAATACTTTTCTTTCATCTTAAACTAACTCCACTCCCTAAGCCTAATAATGAGTCTATAAATCATCATTCCATCCTCTCATTGGGGTTCTTGTTGGATATTAAAAGAAATCTGAACATCATTGTCATAGACATGTTACCACTCTGTGAATAACAGTAGGCCAAATCTATCTGGAGTATGATCTGACTAGCTGTTGTTAATATTATTATGCCATTTCAATTAATTGTTTACAAAGATATACTTTAAGATATTACATAAAAATTATTAGATCTTCCAAAAAATGAATTTTAGAACCTAAAATTATTTATATCTACTGTAGCTGGCATGGACACTATCCATGGTAATAAATTATTATTTTGAATAGTCATATGTCCTTGTTTTATTATAACTGTTTTCTTGGTGATTAGTCCAGTAATAGTAGTAATGGTAATGATATCAATGGTGGACTTAATGAGATGTCAATTGATGATGCCTGTATGCAGTTAACAACTAAAAAAAAGAAAACTATTTAAAAACATTAATGTCCTGTAGGGCTACAGTAAACAAAATTGCCAAAACGCAGTAAAATCTTCAATGCATAATGGGTCGAAAATAACAGAAATTTTATTATGTATTGTTTTTGACTGAAGTGGTGCCTTTTATTAAGTCTTCATTATAATTATTATTATTATTTTTGATGTGTTATACTGTATATTACATAAAAAAATCAAATCAGAGGTACAGGCCTTATTTGAAAAAGAGAACAAATTACAGTACAGCATTGAAATATTTCAGTCTGTCAGTAGTAAAATTGTATCAAGCGCCCTCTATATGCACAAGCAAGATCTGAAGCATAAGATTTTCTCTTATTATTATCACATCTTCTTAGAGTATATTACTTTATAATATATCTGTCATGTATAATATATGTCCATCTGTTTGCTCGAAATATATGCACTAGACTTCAGTTAACAATAACATGCAATTTTCTGGGTTGTTAAATTTATATTTATGTTATTGATTCAAAGCCATTTGCATTGATTCAGAATGGCTGCTAACCGCTGTCATTATGTGCCATGCATAGATATATTAAAATTCAGCTGCATTGTACAGTTGAAGATTAAGAAACGGAGAAAGCATATAATTAGCCACGCCCCATAGTCAATTCTAGGTGCTCTCCCAATATGTTCAATAGTTGTGTGCATGCAAATAATACTTGTTTTACAAGTAAAAACATTTTAAAATGGAAAATTTATTTCAACTCTATATGAATGAGTTGTTAGGAAATGTAATTTCTCTGTAGCAATATTTTTTAAACTGTAGTTGTCACCTTGATGAAATAATAGTTATTATAATTATACCTATAGATTACATACTTACATGTATATATTTGTTTTATCTTTGTTAATTATTTTGCTTTAATGAAAATTATAAATATAATTATCAGGTTGGTAAATATAAATATATGAGTTTGCTATAATCTATTGTGTCATTATAGATTTAACATGAATTATTGTTTATAATCATGACATATATATTATTAATTTGATGAGTTGTGCGATTAAAGTAATTATGTAATAACATTACCCAGTAAAATTTCTCAAAGCTAGATTATTAAAAAATGTAATAATTTTTCCCTTTTTACTGTATGTTCAACAGTAGATAGACACCTGTCAATAATTACAGGATAAAACTGAATATCATGAAGCTTACAGAGTGGAGTTTTATTCATGAGTAAAAATCCTGCTGCATTATGGGATTTGAACCCATGATCCTGGGATTTGGATGGCAATTATCTTAACCACCATATAATCATATAAAGGAAATTAACAAATAAAGATAAAGAACCTGGTGCATTGATGCTCAGAATGTTTCCTAGGTTTATAATTAACATAATCTATTTCATACTCCTGTAGGCTACTGACACTGTTGGTAACCTAGAACAGTAGTCTCGCACTGTCATGCAGTGTAATGTATATAATTTACTATATAGTTAAATCCATAAATTTAAGGGTTGTACAAGTATAACAGTATTATTTATGTATTTGATAATTGCCATAGAAAATGTTTTAAATTAAAAGTTAATTATATTTAAAAGCTAAGCAATTATTCAAATATTTAATGTATTATTTTTTTTTTTAGATCAACACAGGAAGTAAATAATAAAAGAATATATGCTTACTGCAGCAGTTAAGTAAATATGAGAGCCATTTATCATAACATGCTAAGTAAATATGGAATAATTTAATACAAATTACTGTACATACAGGAGAAATGAATGGTAAAGAATCTAGGCCATTTCAGTCTTGTTAATATTAATAAGGAGTGTTTACTATTTGTTGTAAAATGAAATACAATATGTAAAGTGATTATTATGGGTATATGTCCATATTTCATAAATTGTTTGACACTTAAAATTTTGTTATTCATTTCCATTATTTATTGAAGAAATATCTTCAATTCATTCAATTTTGAAATATAAAAATTTATGTACTGTATTTACATCATCATCAGGTGACGACCGGTTCATTTATCCTTTAATACCTTTTTAAACCTGCTATAATTTTTATCCATTACTTTTATTTTTAAATACATTCTTTCACTTTATTTTGAAATATAAAAAATTTATAATTTACATACTAGGGAATCACCAGTTTGAAATTTCAATGCCTTGTTTTTTAACCTGTTTTAAAC